TTTTTTTTCATGTGTATTTATCGTCATTTGCTTTGAACGTGTCCTGATTTCTGTGATCTATAGGAGTTCTGAACTTAGATGAAATTTTAGTTGCAAGAAAAAGGAAGGTTCATTTCTTTAAGTCTATCTGCTGAGTATCATGTTGCCCTGAAGATCGTTAGAGGCAGCAGCTGTTCGTAATTATCATGTGTGTGTTATCTTTGCCGGTCTGTCGTCAGGGCAGACCGCAGATATTGCTGATGTATGATGTACTGCTGCCAATGTGACCATTGTATGGGTGACATTCCCAATCAGTCGTGTTAATGAGCATAATCTCAGTGAGTTCCCATGTGGGGCGATTTTTCTCCGCCTCCGTTAGAGTTCAAGCTTAGGCGTCATTCAGTATGTTTTTCTAATTTAGTCGTTTCATGTATCCATCTATCCATTTTTCCTTTGTAAGTAGTATGTGAGTATCTGTACGTATTAATAAAAAGTCTCAAAATCGTAGGGAGTTAATCAATCCCATCCGAGGGATGCGCCATGCATTCGACTTCCAATCAGAATCGTAGTGGCGTGTTGAATACGTATGTGGCCTATACAATGACTTGCTGTGGCCAGCCGATAGACAAGTCAGGGCTTTTTATCCTCCCAGACGAGTCTGGTACCAATTAACCGACCCCGAAGGGATGGAAGGCATGGTTGGCGTGGGCGCATATCGATCTGGGACACGTATTATTGATTAATATAAAGATGGAAAAAGGAAAATTCTTAAAGCTTCGAATTAGCTACACATCATCAGCGAAAGTCTGACTGACTGACTGACTGGCTGAGTGACTGAATGGATCACCTTGCCGATTAAACGCAGTGGCAGTCGTCCAGCCGGGCGCCCTCCATCAGCTGCCAGCTATTTCGCTTGGCTCCCGCCCGTTCGGAATCCAGTTCTTCCGCGTTCCACTTCACACGATCATAATGGTTGTATGATATTCAAAGAAAACAATAAACAATTTTTGAAAAGAACTGAAAATCAACAGATTCTGACAAGACTTCGTTTTTCCGGGGTTCTGGGGCCCTTCCCAGACAGGAGTTACATGGGCAACACAACATGCACACACACATCCAAATGCCTGTCTGATGTAATGATTAGTGCGTATATGAGCTTGTTATCGCTTCTACTACCGTAATCTCCCATGCCGTCGTCGCTGTATGTTTGCCAAGACAACAAGCAGAACATCGTAACGATCACACTGTCTGTGGCTGCTGTGGCAAACCATATCACAGAAATGCATGTGGGAAGCTGTCCAGGCAATGGAAACCTTCTCCCAAGCCCCACGATTGCGTTATCCTCGTTTTTGTCCTTTCGGTTCATTCCTATTCTGTTTGGGCGATCGTCCAAGATCTTCCTCCCCACATTAGGCGTTTTTCCCACTCATTCGTCGTGACGTCACCTCGCCATGCGTTATGAATCGTCACTTAACGCGATTCTCTCGCTGGGTTTGGGGCGCTCTCTCTGGGAGGCATGTGTTTGTGGGAGTGTATGTGTGTGTGTGTACGTGTGATTGTGTGGTCGCAATGTGTTTCCGCACGCGGCGGCCGACGATTGCCGCGTGCGACAATGCCGAGTCATCGATTTGCGCGCTAGGGAGAGACTGCGAATGATTCAGTGTGCGACGGTGGAGCTGGCCGGCTGAGTCATGGATGGCGAAAAGGGCGAGTTCCAGGCCCTCGGCGGCTCTTTGGCTCTCGATCAGAAGGGCGAGTTCCAGGCCCTTAGGGGCACATTATCACTCGATCTATCCAACTGTAAACTACGAAATCCTCAACCGACAGCTACCAGTACAGGTAAGGTTTTTCGCCATTAATGCTTCTTTATGTATGTCGTCCCTCCTCCTCCGTGTTCACGTGCTCGACCATCCTCGTTGTCGCGTCTCTAATGTGAATCTAACGACTGGGGGGGCTGATGAGGGTGGTCGCGTCACGATGGGTGGTGGCGGATTGCTGACAACCGGCTGGTCGTAGGCTGCTGACGGACGGAACGATGTCGATGAAGGGAGAGAGGCTGCTTACGATCGCTGGAGTGTTCAGTGTAGTGATTTCTGGACTTTTCAGAACCGCGCAATGATCCAACTCTCGAACAAAAGCAGTACGCTCAAGGATTCTTCGGTTCGTTTTGTTAATGTCGTCGCTCTTGTTTACTCTCTTATCGTTTCACTTCTGTTTTCCACCCTTTCAAGATTCTGACGATGATTCTAAACAATTAGTAACTTGTTTTGTCTACATCTCAGTTACTGGATTGCTTTCAGATGCCCTCCGTACGGTTCAACAGATTCATAATTTTGAATTCGAAAAGAAAGTTCTATCACCGGGATTCATAGCCCCAATTGTTGGCTCTGAATTACTCACACCGCTCATTTCTCCTTCTAGTCGGTACGCGATTATGCCTCTGCTACTTTTTTCGACGATTTTTTGATATTTCCTCTATAAACTTGTTTCATTAGGGCGACCTATCTCCCATTTTTCATCTCAATTCGGGTGGCGGGGTTGACGGGGTGGGGGGAAGCCTCAGCACTTCGGAAATTAGAGTGTGTTAGTACAGCGCCGCTGTTGAACAAACACGATAAAAGTAGCGGGCACCCGAAACTCCACCTGACGGGTTTGTTCCAAGAGCCGTGGATACGTCAAGGAAGTGGTTCCTTACCACCACGGCCGCGATAGAAACGTTCTATCACTTCGTACCCGTTCATTTTTCAGTGATTCCTTGGTGATTAACGAATGTAATGAAGTCGACGATGAGACGACGAGAGAAAGACGAGTTGACCTTGCATTTTTCGTGTTGCTCACATTGTACAGTAACGGTCGGGTGACGCAGCAGCGAACAGATAGGCGTTTGATAACGGCTTCGGAGGGTTATTAGTCACTATTGTCAGTGTGATAACGGCAGCCAGCCACAGATGCGCCAAAAATGGTATCGAAACTCGACAAAGTTGAAAGTAAAGGGTTCGTCTGAAGATTGAGAAGGGATCGAGCTGAATCGGCTGTACTTCTTATGTGCTACCATAAAGTTTGGGCAACTGCGAAGTGACTACTTGACAACTGATTTTTGAGAAGTTTAGTTTTGTGAAAAAAATTGGTCGAGTTAGACTTTTATAGTGATTTTCTAAAAGTAAGCCTTAGAGTTCATCGTAGTAGTGCCTGTGGGTTTTTCAGTGGAGCTAGTCATCCTTCAATTTACCAAAGGCGTTTTAAATGAATAGAACACCAGTTGTTCACCCCCTGTTTTGGAATACGCCATGCATAGGATTCCTAGTCGAAGCGGTGATGACGATTGTCAACTGTGGCAACTCTACAATAGGCTGCCGGAGCAAGTCATTTTGTCTGACAGAGTTTCTTCTGCCCAGGAGGATTCTGGTAGCAGCCAGCTGGCCCTAGAGGAATAGAATTGTTGCCTCGATGGAANCGTGGGAAGAAGCGCTGCTTGCCGTTTCCCGGCGACCGCTTTCGTGTCTTCACTTATTTAATCCGATTAATGAACTTTCTTCCGAAGACCATCAACAATTTTAATAAACCAATTCCCCCATACCCATTGAAAATCTTTTCCGTAACTGGGAGCTCTGGACGATATTAGTGAAGCCTCCAAATACTCCTATGGGAGATTTTTCTTTACCCATAGGTGTAAGAAAAGTTGGCAAAAAAAAATCGACGGTGGGTGTAAATCACGTGGTGGAAGGGTTTTTCCATACG